ATGTGTGAAATCATATGGTTCTTGTCCTTTTCTGTCTGACTTATTTCACTCAGCATGATACTCTCAAGATCCATTGATGCTGTCATAAATGGCAGTATTTCATCTTTTCTTATGGCTGAGTAGTATTCCATTGTATATATGTACCACTTTATCCAATCATCCATTAAATGACACTTAGGTTGTTTCCATGTCTTGACCAATATGAATAATGCTGCAGTGAACATAAGGGTACATGTGTCTTTATGAATGTTTCCAAATTTTTCAGATTGATAAAAGAGGAATCTCTGGGTCATATGGTAGCTTTATTCTCAATGTTTTGAGGAGCCTCCATACTGTTTTCCATAGTGACTGTACTAGTTTACATTTCCAACAACAGTGAATGAAGGTTCCTTTCTTTCCACAACTTTTTCAAAACCTGTTATTTTTGGTCTTGTTGATAATAGCCTTTCTAACCTGTGCGAGGTGGTTTCGATTTGCATTTTCAGTATAGCTACTGAAATTGAGCATCTTTTCATATATCTGTTGGCAATTTGTATGTCTTCTTGGGAAAACTGTTCAGGTCACTGCCCAGTTTTTAATTGAATTGTTTGTTATTTTTTGTTGTTGAATTGTATGAGTTCTTTTTATATTTGAACTCCAATTTCTTAAAGACCTTTGGACAATTACATAGTAGCTACAGCAATATAAATTTTAAAAATTGAATGAGATATGTAAGTAAATACAACTGCATTAATATTAAGATTCATCAGAGGTAGAGAGTTGTTTCACTCTCTGATGGCATGTATTTCAATGGAGGCATTTAAAAATGAAGATAGGGCCCCGGCTGGAATGGCTCAGTGGACTGAGTGCTGGCTTGTGAAACAAAAGGTTGGGGTTTGATTCCCAGTCAGGGCACATGCCTGGGTTGCAGACCAGGTACCAAGCTGGGGGCAGGCAAGAGGCAACTAATTTGATGTTTTCATCCCTCTCTTCCTCCCTCCCTTCCTCTCTCTCTAAAAATAAATAAACAAAATCTTTTCAAAAAATGAAAATAAAGATGAGAGTTGAGAGTATGATTTGGTAGCAGCTGATGAGGCTAGAATTCTTGCCTTCTGGAATGGAGAACTACTGGGAAGACAGGGGATTGGGGAAATAACAGGTTTCCCCTGAGGTAGGAAGTGAATTCTGCTAATAACCAATGAGTTTGACAGAGAAACTTGAGCCTTTAATAAGATTTTAACCCCAGCCAGCACCTTGATTTCTGCCTGTGAAACTGTGAGCAGGATTAGTTTAGTCTTGCCTGGACTTCCGACCTACACAAATGTGAATAATAAATGAATATTGTTTTAAGCCACTAGTTTGTGGTAATTGTTATACAGCCAATAGAAAATTCATTCAGTCTTCTATATTAAAATGTAGAACAGAGGATCCTCATTCTTTTGTCCTGGCACACTGGAAGGAATTGGATAGAAGTATCAGTGACTGTGGACCACGGCAAGGATTTTCCCTAGGGATGGGAGGGAATGTCTGAAGGAGCCATCAGTTGTTTCTATTCACCTCTGTTGTCAACCACTGTGGTAAATGATTTAGACATTTCTTTCATTTTTGCTAAATATCAAAATATAAAATTAAGATGATTTTTCCTTGCTGGCCTTCAGTTGATTTTTTTTCCCTTTACCACTCATTGGCTCTTTGAAAATAAGGTTTCCCTGCCCATCCATATGCTGTCTACCTCAGATTCCCATTGAATCAGTGGGGTTTTGCCCCATAAAAAAATTACTTGATAAGTAAGGCTGAGCTTATCAATGCCATGTACCAGACAAAATAGCTTGTGTCAGGATCGTTTGGAAAAAGTGGGAGACCTTTTAATGTTGGTTTTAAAACATAGCTAAGAAGCTAAATTTGCTTCTGGAATAGAAGAAAAACAAAGTGATGTTCTTTTAAGCCAAGCATAATTATCTTCTAATGTCCAACAGTATCTCCCACTGGATGTCAGGTATTTAAAATAAACTTGAAAATGAACAGCTTACCATTTTCAGAACTGAAATTCAAACCTTCTGAAACCCCTTCAAATGACATACAGTAAATTTTACTCCCTGCATTGGCATATTGCAGTACAAGATTGACTGGGCTGGGGTCTTTGGACGTCCTTGGAGCTCGGGGCAGGGGCAGTCACTCAAGGCTGCCCTCTCTTGTGGCATCAACCTGACTATGCCTTTCACGGGCACTATGTATTTGACATTGCCACACCTGCTCTTCCTCCTGTGTCTTCATTACAGGAAAAGCCACCACCATCAATTCATGTGATGAAAGCTAGAAACCTGGCAGCCATCTTGGATTTCCTCTACCTCCACAGTCTTCATCCTATTTAGTGACCAACTTCTTGAGTTTATCTTTAAATTTTTTTTCTTAGATCTCATGAGGCTGTATGGTGTAGTCATTAAATGCAGAGATTCTGGCATTTTAGACAGGCAATTCCCAACATTAAGTTGAATTATTGTTTATAATATGCTTCTACCTCTCTTGTCCTGCAACAAGAAGGCATTTTCCATAGAAGCACCATTCTAGCCCTGACAGGGTGGCTCAGTTGGTTGGAGTGTTGTCCCATACACCAAAAGGTTGAGGGTTCGATCCCTGGTCAGGGCACATACCTAAGTTGTGGGTTTGATTCCTAGTCAGGGTGCGTAAAAGAGGCAATCAATCAATGGTTCTCTGTCACATCTATGTTTCTCTCTCTTTCTCAAATCAACAAACATATCTTCAGGCGAGGATTGAAAAAAAGAAGGAAATAAACCCCATTCTAAATGGCATTACATTACTAGGCTAGTCTATAGCAGACTGTTCAGACCATAGTGTACATGAATGGTAGCTGGAACACCTTTCACTCTCTGGGGCTCTGAGGAGCCCATTTCTGTCTCTGAGCTGGGCTAGCCATCCACACCCATGAGACAAAGAGGGGACACACAGTAGCAGTGGGTTCCAAAGTTTGGAGCGTTTTCCTTAAGTTTGGCACAGGGGGAGCCCTGCACCAGCCATTGGATTGGGGTGTGTGTGTGTGTGTGTGTGTGTGTGTGTGTGTGTGTGTGTGTGTTGGAGAAGGGCAGTGGGAGATCTCACCTGTCCTTAAGAATGTAGTCATGCGATCTTTGCTGTTTTTGAGCTGCCTACCTCAAGGCCCCATCAGAGATACTCCTTGTGGAGGGCAGCTCTGTCTGAAGTGGGGTTGGCTTCATAAGTGTGTGACCTGTGCAGTTGTGCAGGGCCTGCACTTGGAAGGGCAGCCCACTTGGTTTAATGCTTTGTCATTACCATGATGAAATATATAATAATTTTTTAACAAGGAAGCCCACATTTTCATTGTGCACTGGGCCCCACATATAATATAGTTAAACCTAGGCTAGAAGAAAAGGTCACTGGTCTGGAATTGCCAGCTAATCCTTGTGCCAATCAAAAATGATTAGCTTGTCATTTTCACATTTGCTACACTTGTTTAAGTTCAACTCATTTATTCTCTTATTTGACAGATTATTTAGTGGGCACCTCTTACGTGCCCACATTGTTTTAGGTGCTGGAGATACAAAAACAAACAGATAAAATCCCTGTCTTCATGGAGCTCACATTATACTGAATACTGACAGGTAAGATGGTATCAAACATGTGTAGAAGTCCAGATAGGATATATGTGTATGTACAGGAAGTTCAGATAGGATGTATATAGTAGATAGGAAGTATAGATAGTATCTATCATCTGTCTATCTATATCTATTTATCTAAACAGCCAGAAAAGACTTCACTGAAAAGGCAACTTTTGGTAAAGGAAAAATAAGGCTGTTTTCCTAGGGTGAATGTACAAATACTGCTAAGGTTTCAAAGAGCTCCTTCTTCGGCCTTAGAGATTTACTTCAGAAGTATTGGGACCACATTTTCTTTTATGAAGTGACTGAGGAAAACCTTTCCATTTATAAAAATAGAGTTCATTTGAGAAACAGATTTAACTTCATCTTGTATGTAATGGATGATTATAGCTCTCCCTCTCCTGATATTTGTTGCATCATGCTAAGTTTTGTAGATAATAAATAAATACAAAAATAAGAAAAGGTGCCTGTTGAGAAAGACCTGAGGAAAAGAGAATCTTCAGAAATGGAGGGATGTGGGTAGATTGGAGAATTACAAGAAGAGAAAAAAGAAAGAAGAAAGAAAAAGTTCTTAGGTGGGACTATGCCTGGTCAGTGTGTCTAAAGTGGAGAGAATGCAGAATGTGGAGATGATGGGGAAGCAGAGCTTATGGAGCCTGGCAGGTTACAGGACGGGCCTTCAATGCTTCTGGGACTGGGATGGGAAGCTGCTCATTAGACATGATCTATGTTTTCTGACTTATGTTTTACTAATATCATCCTAGCTTTGAAGAGTTATGAGGATAGACTGGAGAAGGTCAAGGGCAGGAGAGAGACCAGTTAACAGGCTATTATAATAACCTAGGCAAAAGATAATTATAGCTTGGGCATTCTAGTGGGTGACTTCTGGTTTTATTTTAAATGGAAAGCCAATAGACCAGATGTAGGGTGACCAAAAAAAAAAAGAGTAGAATAAGGTATGAAATCAAGTGTTTTGACCTGAGCAAATAGAAGGGAGAGATACTGGTTCAGGGAGCATATCAGGGATTCCGTTTGGATAAGTTAAGTTTTGAGATGTCCATTGGCCATCGAAGCAGATGTCAAACAGGCAGTCAATTTAAGAAAATCTTGGTTAAAGATATAAATCTGAAGTCATTAGCATATAGATGATTTTTGAATGAATACAGGTAAAAAATAATTTTTTAAAATGTTCAAATACTTGAGTTTTGTTGACACTGGAGCTATTTCAAAATATGTGTTGTCAGTGACACTGTGCACCCTAGGGCAGGTGTAACACTCAGCGGGGCTGACTGCAAAGTTTAGTAAAGCGAAGACATGATCACATGACATACCTGTGTTTTCACTGCCTAGTCTCCTCCCCCCAAAATAAATAACACAGGAAGAAAATTTTACCAGTTTTGGTTACTTATTTTAAATCATTATTATGAGTTTATTTTATTCTATAAGCAGTTCAAATTTCTACATGATTAAGGAATTTTCATGGCTATCAGAACAGAACTTGAGCTGGATAGTCCGTACAGATACCTCCTTCCACAGCCTCTCAAATCTTGGTTTAATCCACACAGTTACCATCTTTAGGTAAGAGCTCTTCTAGATGACTATGTTTTTGGCTTGCATCTTTGAGAGAAGCATCATTATAATTACCCACCTTCGGATAAACTAAGAAGGAGATTTGGAGTCAAGATACATTTCAGGAGCACTTCACGTTGAGAAGCCTAGTAATTTACTTCTTGTGGAGTTTTGACATGCTAGTGAGTCTGGCCAGATGAGTCAGAAGAAGGAATCTGTTGAGGCATCCCTGGAATCATATTAGAGGTACCAGGCAGGCATTCCTGCTTCAAAGGCTCCTTTTCAAGGAATACTGTGTTCTCCTGCATGAATATGGTCTTCTTTGTGGAACCAGCCACAGACATCAGTGGTTAAAAAGAAAAGAAAAAAAAAGCAAAAAAGTCACAAGCTGAGAATAAAACACACTTAGTATCGCAAGAACAAAATATTGCCATTTTTATACTCGAGACTAAGAACAAAATGGAAACAGACTTGCTCTAGCAAAGCACAAAACAAAACTTGGAAATGGAGATATGGAGGAAGTTCAGGGTGAGGATTTAAACTCAAGAATGGAAGCCATTTTCTCTCTCTTGGCCATGGGCTTGGAAGGGAGGTAGAAGAGCCATGAAAAAGGGATGATGTAGCAGCCACGAGGCTCTCTTTCTCTCTTGTGTGTGCACATGCGCGCACTTTGCTCTTGGCCATGTGGGGAGTAGTGGTGAGGGAAGAGACATGCTGTCTGTAGCAAGGGATTTTTGCCCTGCAGCTTGGAAGGGAGAAGTAAGCAAGCAGCTATGTAGTTTACAGTGAAGAAGTAGGCTATGCAGCCTGGAATAACAAGAAAGGAGAGGCTGCTGCTGCTGTGATCATGCCTGCTCTAGCTAATTCCAGAGTGGCAAAGTATTTCCTTGCAAGATCCTGTCCTGCTACACCTGGATTTTACCCGGACTTTTAAGACCTGTGCCTTTCCTGAGTTTCACCATGATCCACAATAACATGGCACATGCTTTTCTGGACAATTATATGAAGGCTGATGGCAACATATTCCAGATCCTACACAGATAAGGACACAGGAAACTTTGGGGGATGTTTTTGGCTAGTAGCCTGGGGGGAGCATGGGAAGTGCTGGGTCTTATGGGAAAGAAGGGTTCCAAGCTGAAGTACTCTAAGCTCTCCCAGGGTTGGAATGCTGTAAATAAACCACTGGGTCATTCACCAAGGCGCCATATGGATGGGCCCCAGTTTGCTCGGTAGTAAGACTACTGTGTAACAATAGTATAAAATCATCTTTGTTTGATTTATTTATGAAACATCCAGACTTTTAAAAAATGTATTAATTGTTTATGAAGAAAGCTGACCATATTTGTATAAATGTAAATAATCTTAATACTTTTATGTTTTCATCAAAGTGGGCATTGAAAACTAGCAAAAGCTGGTTAATTGTATAAGACTGCATTAAAGTTTTTAATGCATGGATGTAGTGATAGTTATAAAGATGTCAGATATCAAGCCCAGTCAATCAATTTCCTATCTGGGTATCATGTACTTTGTAGAAACACAGAATGACACATTTTTCAGAAGATTGTGGCAAAAGTTACAGAGATGAAAGATATGCTTATCAGATGAATGAATACTCAGTTATTTCCAATTATCCTAAGTTATTAACTTATGACCACTATTACAGCATCACAGAACTACCATCTGTGGCTTGAAACATAAATAGCATATAATATTTACTTAAGTAAATAGTATAGGATAAATAAAATAATATACCTGTAGTATATAATGATAACTATATTTGGTTTCTGAAAAACACTGAATAATTTGCCCTGGCTGATGTGGCTCAATGGACTGAGTGCCAACCTGCAAATGGAAAGGTCACCAGTTGGACTCACAGTCAGGGTACAGGCCTGGGTTGCAAGCCAGGTCCCCAGCTGGGGGCATGCGAGAGGCAACTGATGGATGTTTCTCTTGTATATTGATGGCCCTTTCCCTCTTTTCCCCTCCCTTTCCTTCTCTCTAAAAATAAATAAAATCTTTAAAAATCTTGAATAATTTTTGAAAAGGGCTCAAAGAATCTTATATAAAAATATATTTATTCCAAGTGGCATATTAGATTTTTTTAAAATATGATTTTTTAAAACGAGTTACATCTAACCTATTTCCTGATATCTAAAATGAAACTGCCTTTAAACAATTTCTTTTTTCATTGACTATGATCTTAATGACATATAAACACAGAAGAAATGGAGGCTAATGGGGGCCTCAACACACTTTGCCCTGTGACCAGGATGACTGTGGATTTCCTGGTGTCCACCACTGGGATATATGTACCCAATGCTGAGTTCCTCCTCCCTACCTGGTGTCACATTTCACACACCTGTTGAATCTGATACTCTTCTTGCTTCAGCATTTCTGTCATTTTGGTTTCCTTGAGGCTATTATCATATTCCTCCTTCAACTGGATCTTCTCCTGACTATTCTGGGATAAAGTTACAGAGTTGAATCAGATTAGCCCCTGGGAAGTACACACAAAGAGGCCCTTTCTCCCTGGGACTGGACTCAGGCCCTTCAGGTGTTCTGAGTCTGCTCCTGTAATGAGCTTCAGACTGTTACTGGCCCCAAACCCACCAACTCCATCACTCCTGTGAGTTGGATTCCTTCTTCGGCCCCACCTAGACTCCTGGTGCTTCTTGGCTATCTGGGCCTAAGTCACCCCTCACAAGCTGAATAAACAGAAAAACTCCACAGGCCAGCTCCAGAATTCTGCCTTGGATTTCAGATTACTCTAGGAAAGCTGGAAAGCCCTCCCCAAGCTGACCCGTGCACATACACACCTCTTCTTTTGCTTCAGTGATTTTCCTGTAATGATAAAGCCAGTGAGCCAAGTACTCTATGGGGTCACTGGGCCGAACCTTCGCCACCTCTGCCAGTGCCTGGGCAAGGCAATTTCCAAAGCATCTCTTCAGGTAGTCAGTTTCCATCTTGTGGGCTTGGGACACATCAAAAGAGTCATATTAATTTACAAATCTAATTTGATTTTAAAAATAGAAACATTCTAACCAATTGATGGGGGAACTCAAGAGTTGGAAAATTTTAGTTTTAGGTAGTAGTCAATAAGTTTAGTAGTTGATGCATGTAAAAAGCTATTGTTTCAGAAACTGAAGGTAAGGCCCACCCCGACTCCAGTAGACCATGAGCAATTCAACTTTTGTGCTAAAGAAGAAGCCATAAGCAATCAAAATGGTATCTGAGCTGTCTCTCCAGGGAGAGACAACCTGATGTCCAGAACACAGATAAAGAAAATCATCCAGGACACAGGACACTGATAGAAAATCACTAGTCAACAGATGAAAGGATGTTAGGGAAATTGTTGGACTGCAGCTTTTACCTGATTAACCTCTTTCCTGAATTCCAAAGTCCTTACCTTCACTTTTTTTCCACTTGAATTCCAAATCCCTTATCTACACTTTTTTTTCCTTATAGAAAGCTGTCTTGAAAGGGAGTGTAAGATGGTCTGTTGGGGTACATAACCCACCGTCTTCTCAGATTGCCGGCCATCTGAATAAAGCATCCATAAAGATTTGATCCCTGTCTCTGCTTATTGGTTCTGATAGTGACAGGCAACATGAACAGTGACTTTTCCAGTTTCAAAATTAGGATTCATATCAGGATTAATATGAGATATTTCTGGATTCCACCTTTCTCCAAGAATCAATAAATACATACATGCTGATAGCTCTTATATTCAAGTGGATTTTTTCTTAAGAATACTAATTCAGACAATAGGTCCTGGAGGTGTTCAGACATGATAAGAGTTTGGTATATTGGTGGTTAAGTGTAGCTAAGGCCTCCACTTACTCATGTATTTCTATCTTTGAGTGGAGAAGAAATAACTGAGCAGACATGGGGCCCAAAAGGGGCTCTGAGTATCCAGCAAGCTGTGCTATTGTCAGGTTGGAAGCAATAGTCATCTAAGACATAGATAAGACAGGCTTACTTATTTCATAAGGTAATACTGAGAAGCCTTAGGGATGGGAGGGAGGGAAAATGCCAGTCATTGTAGTTACTGCTGGTCAGGGGCTCTGCCAGGACTTAACACAATATTCCACACCATATTTTTTTAAGTAAGAAGCTATTTTAGGTTGAGAGGTTGAGTTGATGGCTCTGGATTCACTATTAATGAGATTTCAAGAGCTGGAAGAAGTATAGCCTGAGTTAGACCACAGACAGGAGTGGTACTATAGTGCAGGAGTATGAACACAGACTCTGGTATCAGACAGACCCAGTTCTAGTCCTATTCTTCCATTTATTAGATGTGTGGTCTTCAGCAAGTCACCAGTCTCTGCGAGCCTTGGTTTTCTCATCTGTAAAACAAAATAACAAGGATATGTGCTTCTTAACTGTGAGGATTAAAGGAGATAATAAATACATATAAAGCATTAAGCCTGGCATATAGTGTTTAATAAATATTTGCTATTACAGTGGAAGATTGTGATATGAAATGGCCTAGCCCCTGGCCTATTCCTGACTAATTCTGTATTTCTAAAGTTTATGTATTTTAACTCCAAAAGAGTTAATAATAAAGTGACTAATAAAGACTTAGATCCAGTCTTAACATTTTCTGGAGGCTCTATGCAGTTTAAGGGAGGAAAGATAAATAGATACACAGACATGAATGTAGAAAAAATATATATCTCATAGCTCTTACCCCTGCAAAGGCTGAGAAGCAAAACCACCTTAGTAGCAATGAGCACACTGAGCATTCAGAATTTGTGTTTAAGGAGCTGCCACTACTTAAAAGGAATCAGACAGAGTTCCTTGGAGAAATGGCTAATTCTGAGGTTGAGGTAGGAAAAGTCCAGTAAGCCTGTAACATTTTGTTGTCCCAGAAAGAAAATGTTGAAAAATAAAATGGTTGAGGACGCAGGAGCCAGCTTGAAGGGGCTGATAATGGCCAAATATGGGGCAATTTAATCATCAAAATACATAATGACTGTAATGGATTATAACTGAGTAAAACAAGAATCCATGAGTCCATATAAAAATAAATGAGTGAGTGGGAGAGATGGCAAGTAGAATGCCAACTAATAATGGAATTTTTAAACAAATCACCATTTCATACCCATCATAGTATAACTCAAGCCAGAATCATCAATGAATACTAAAACTCAGTGAATATTTGATAAAGCATAGGATATTTTTATAGTCTCGAAGTTCCTCCCCACAAATTATATTAAGTCCGAAAGGAAATACAGAATCTTGACATGATAAAACCTGGCCAACATGATCTTCACCAAGTGATCAAAGTAAACATCACCAAGAGAGACAGTGAGATCACATGTCTTCTGATGTGACACACTTCTTAGTGGGACATAATACATTTCTGTGGATTCCTGTCCCAAGTGCAAAACTTGAATCTGATTTGAGGAATCAAAGAAAGCCCAACTGAGAGACAGTCTATAACTGATTTGAACTCTTAAAAATGCCAAGGTTGTGAAAGGCAAAAAAAAAAAAAAAAAAAAAAAAAAAAGATGAGGAACCATTCCAGATCAAAGGAATCTAAAGAGGCCTAACTACATGCAATACAAGATCCTAGATTGGATCTAGACCAGAAAAAAATTTCTACAAAGGATATTGTTAGGAAAATTGGATAAATCAAATGTGAATTGTAGATTATAAAATAGAATTGTATCAAGGTGAAATTCCTGGTTTTGGTAATTGAAATATGAGTAAGAAAATATCCTCGTTCTTAGGAAATACACAGTGTGGTAGGGCAGAATAAGGGCTCCCAAAGATGTCCAAATCCTAAAACCTGGAACCTATGAAATACGTTACTTTATATGGCAAGGATTTTGCAGATGTGATTAAAGATTTTGATTTGGGGGGATTATCTGGATTATCCAGGGAGGCACAATGTAATCACAGGTTTTTATAAAAGGGACACTGTAAGGTCAGACAGAGGAGATGTGATGATGGAAGCAGAGGGAAAAAACGTCATGTGACTCAGAACCATGAGCCAAGGAATGTGGGTAGCCTCTGAAAGCAGGAAAAGGCAAGGAAATGGACTCTTTTCTAGAGCCTCCAAAAGGAATCAGCCCTGCCAACAGTTTTTTTTAGCCCTGCAAGACTCATTTTGGATTTCTGACTTCAAAAAAACTGTAAAAGGATAAATGTGTGTTTGAAACCAGTGAGTTTGGGGTATTTAGAATGAGCCACCTCAAGATATGCCTCTGTGATATGAGGATTGTTTTGAGCTAAAGGCAACTAAGATCCTCAGTCTCAAGAGAAACTTCTGGGCCCTCCCTACAGCTACTTAGAAGAATTAGAAGTAGAGGCTTTACCCATAGTAAGAGGTTGTCAGAGATAACCTTTTTGACCTATGCCTAGGGCAGGGAAAACTTCTAAATACCGAACATCTGCTCTTCTTAGTGTCCTGCGATGACCTACTTCTCTGAAGTCCCAAGGTGATCTTTAGCTCAGAATGTCATACTTTATTTTCCCTTTCTGTCTTTGAACCTCTCGTGTATGTGGGGTCTCTGACTCTCTCATGTATGCAGAGTTCCCATACATATGTATGAAATTAAATTTGGTCACTTATTTTGTTAATCTGCTTCATGTCTAATTATTAGACTAGCTGAAAGAAACTTGAGGGTGAAGTTTTTTTCTCTCCACAGGGGTAGTGGTGGAGGGTGGGAACGGGGGTGTAGGTTTTCTCCTCCTGCCAGTCTGTGGCCCACCTGAATCAATGCACCAGGATAAACTATCTTGTACTCCCCTTCTACTCAAAGGTGGTCCATGATCAGCAGCACTGAATCAAATGGGAGCTTGTTGAAATGAAGATTTTCAGGCCCCACCCCAGGCATACAGACAGCCTACATTATGACAAAATCCCTAGGTTACTCAAAGTTATAAATCTCCTTTGTTATCACTGTAGAACTGTCCTCCTCAGAGCCTAGAATCACCAATTTTGCATTCCCAAGAAGTCTCCACTCTCAGTTCTTGGTGGTAATGGTGGGGGGCGAGAGTTGGGGGGGAAGTTACCACACTGTGTAGTGTGTGGCGAACCCTTTCTGAACAAAACACCTGCTCCAAATTGCACACTTTTAATAATGGTCTCAATGAAATATTGTTGACCTTACAGTTACCAAGACTTGCTGCAAAGACAGCTGAGCCACAATACCAGAACCACAATGTGAGGCTTGGAGAGGGAGGGGGCAAAGGGATGCTTTTACAGCTCACTCCACACCAACTCAGGACACACTCACCAATGGGGTGGAGCTATTTTGGAGGTATTTTCCCAGAGGCCCTGGGAAGGTCTGCTTATCTGGTACTCCATGTTCATGGCCTTGCACTCAGTAAAGCAGGTCAATAAGCATGGAGAGTGTCTTTGTTCATACTCTATTCACAGTGCTAGACACACAGTAGATGCTCAGTAAATATTTCTTGACTTAATGAGCCAGGGCTCTAATGAATGTGAGCCCAAGCAGGAACACGTACTCCTTTCCACCTGTCAGTGCTCACTCTGGTACTTATCTAAGCCAAAGTTTGCTGAGGCTTCTGCCCAGCAGTGCCCTGTACGTGAATTAAAACAGAACATGCAAAATTCTAGCAGAATATTGTGTACAAAACTAAGTCAGGGAAGACTGCAATGGCTCTGTCCTGGCTGGGGTTGGATAGCTTCCCAGAGATGAGGGCACCTACGCTGGTTCTGAAAGGAACCAAAACAGAGATTATTAGCAAGTGCAAAGGTGCGAAGTCATGAAAATACAGAACCATGGAGCCTGAATTGATTGTCTCTTCTGGCCAGGTTCATCTGGGGCGGGGCTGCTTCCATATGCAGCCCTTTGAAGTTCCTCTCCAAGAGCTAGCTGCCCCTTTCTCTCTCCCGGTGCGTGCTCACCTACCCTGCCCTATCATCCCTCTTTCCGGCAGCTCCCTCCCGACAGTCTCTAAGTTGCAAGTCTCTGCTGGACTCTCACGCCCCCTTCTCCTGGGCGCGCGTTCTCTTCTTCCGCGCTCCGGGCTCATCCACCCGCTTGCCACCTCCTCCCTACTGCGCTTTTTCCTTCTCCCTCCACCGCCCCGCGCGCTCCGCTCACCCGCCGTTCCGCCGATTCCTGTTTGCGCAGTGACCCCTACGCACTCCAAGGGCGCTCGCTCGTTGCCTAGCGACCAGAGGCTACTGGGCCGGCGAGGGTATGCGCGTGCGCCTTCCGTGTGCGCATTAAGGGCGCACGCGCAATTTAGGATACTCTTTCCTAGTGCCTTCGTAGTGTACCGGGGCAGAGGTGGTTTGGACCGTTGGACCTGGGTGTGGTGTAGGGCTCCAGCGAGGCACAGGCTCCCTGAGCCCAGCGAGCGTTAGTTCATCAACGTGGGCTCGGTAGGCGCATCTGGGGAGACCTACTTCCTTTTCCGCAGTGATTGTGGCGCCCGGCCCAGTGGAGAGCTGGGGAGGCCGGGATGCTTTGGTGGACCCGGGAAGGGAAAGGAGCCCAAGTGCCCCTAATCGAGGGTTGCAAGGTGAAATACTGGACGTCCAGTTAAACTTACGTTTCGGAGACATAAGGAATAACTTTTTAGTACAAGTATAGTATAATAAATATTATTTGTTGTTTATCTGAAATTCAAAATTTAGCTGGGCAGTCTTTTTATTTGCTAACTCTGGTAATCATATTGGAACCCCCTCCATTCCCACTCAGCTGACCACTTTCTACCAGGCTTGGGATAAGGGACCGCTTTCTGTTTCTCCTAACAACTTCACCAGGTTTCAGGCAGCTGGTTCTGTGGGAAGGGGATTTCCCATACAAAAAATAACATTCCCTAAAACAATTTTCATGGTGCCAACAATTAGAACTACTTAGATGAAATGGACAGATTCCTAGAAACATACAATATTCCAAAACTAAATCAGGAAGGGTGAGAGAATCTGAACAGATCGTATCTAGTGAGATTGAAGCAGTAATTAAAAAAACACATCAAAGAAAAGCCCAGAGCCAGATGGCTTCACAGGTGAATTTTACCAGAAACATTTCAAGAAGAATTAACACCTCTCCTTCTCAAACTAGTGCAAAAAAATTCAAGAGAAGGGAAGGCTCCCAAGCTCATATTAAGAATCCAGCATTATCCTCATTCCAAAATCAGATAAAGATACTACAGAAAAAGAAAATTATAGACCAATATCCCTGATGAATATAGATGCTAAAATCCTCAACAAAATATTAGCAAACGAAATGCCATGATACATCAAAAAGATAATACACCAATATCAAGTGGGATTTATTCTGGGACTGCAAGGTTGGTACAACATTTGCAAATCAGTAAATGTGATATACACCATATAGAGAAAATGAAGGATAAAAACCACATGATCATACCAACAGAGGCAGAACAAGCACTTGTTAAAATCTAGCACCGATTTATGATAAAAACTCTCAGCAAAGTGGGAATAGAGGCACCATACTTAACCATAACAATGGCCATATATGACAAATCCACTGCCAGCATCATACTCAACATGCAAAAATTATAAGCATTCCCTCCTAATGTTCGGGAACAAGAGAGGGATGTCTGCTTTCCCTCTCTTATTCAAAGTAGCAGTGGAAGCCCTAGCCACAGCAATCAAATAAGAAGAAGTAAAAGACATCCAAATGGGAAAGAAAGAAGTAGAACTGAAGGAAGAAGTAGAACTGTCATTATTTGCAGATGACATGATAACTGTATATAGAGGATGGTAAATATTCCACCAAGAAACTGCTAGAATTGATAAATGAAGTTAGTGAAGTAGCAGGATACAAAAGTAATATCCAGAAATCAGCTGCATTTTTATATGCCAATTATGAACTATCAGAAAGAGAAATTAAGAAAATACCACTCACAGCTGCTTCAAAAAGAATAAAATCCCTAGGAATAAATTTAATCAAGATGTAGAAAGCCTGTACTTGGAAAATTGTAAGACTGAAGGAAGAAACTGAGGAAGATACACATAACTACTGCATTCATGAATAAGAAGAATTAACATCATTAAAATATCCATACTACCCAAAGCAATCTATATATTCAATGCAATTCCTATCAAGTTACCAATGATATATTTCATAGAACTAGAAGATATATTTCAAAAAATTTATATGGAACCACAAAAGACCCCAAATAACAACAGCAACCCTGAGAAAGAAGAACAAAGTTGGAAGAATAACACTACCTAATATCAAAGTATACCATAAGACTATAGTAATCAAAACAGCATGATACTGTCATAAAACCAGACACATATATCAATGGAACAGAATAGAATCCAGAGTCTATTAATTTATAGTCAATTAATATTTGACAGAGGAAGCAAGCACATACAATGGGCTGAAGATAGGTTAATCAATAAATGGCGCTGGGTAATTTGGACAAATATGTGCATAAAAATGAAAGTAGACCACCTTCTTATGCCACACACAAGAATAAACTTAAAATGGATTAAGGACTTAAATGTCAGACTTGAAACCATAAATGTCCTAGAAGAAACCATAGGCAGTAAAATCTCGGGCATTGCTTGTAGCAATATTTTTTTCTGATATAGCTCCTCAGGTAAGGGAAACAAAAGAAAAAATAAACAAATGGGACTACATCATACTAAAAAGTTTTTGCTCAACAAAGGAAACTATCAACAAACTAAAAAGACAATCCACAGAATGGGAGAATATATTTGCCAATACATCTGATAAGGGGTTAATAGCTGAAATTTATAAAGAACTTAGAAAACTCAACACAACCAATCCAATTAAAAAAGATGGGCAAAGGACCTAAATAGACACTTCTCCAAAGAGGACATACAGATGGCCAATAGATATATGATAAGACGTTCAATGCCACTATCAGAGAAATGCAAATTAAAACCATAGTGAGATATTACCTTACACCTGTTGGAATAGCTATCATCAATATATCAACAAACAAGTGCTGGCAAGGATGTGGAGAAAGGGGACCACTCTTGCACTGTTGGTGGGAATGCAGACTGGTGCAGCCACTATGGAAAGCAGTATGGAATGACCTCAAAAAGTTAAAAATGGAACTGCCTTATGACTCAGCAATTCCACTTCTGGGAATTTATCTGAAATTCAAAACGCAAAACACTAATTCAAAAGAATATAAGCACCCCTATGTTCAAGGCAGCGTTATTTACAATAGTCAAGATTTGGAAGCAACCCCAGCGTCCATCAGTAGATGAGTGGATAAAACAACTATGGTACATTTACAAAACGGACTGCTAACTGGCCATAAAAAAAGAAGACATTTTTACCCTTAACAACAGCATGGATGGACCTGGGGAACATTATGCTAAGTGAAATAAGCCAGTCATAAGGACAAATACCATATGATTTCACTCTTATGTGGAATTGAATGAACAAACTGAAGTGACCATCAAAATAGAGATAGACTTATAAATAGAGAGCAGGCTGACAGCTCTGGTAGGGGACTTAAGGAGTGGAGGGATCAGGCAAAAAAGAAAAAGGACTTCATGGACGCAGATGACAGTGTGGTTATTGAAGGGATATAAAATGCAGCATAGGGGAGGGTGGTGGGTGGAGGGGGAAGAGGGTATAAGGGGGATAAATGGTAATGAAAAAAATACAATAAAAAATAAAACAACTTTCATGGGATGTGTATTGTTGTGATTTCATGGACTGGGAACACATCAAGCAAAGTAGTAAGCCTCAGGTGGGTTCTCCCATAACACAATGCACTCATTGATCTAAAACTGACCCTCAGTGTGGCCCTACTCTTAGGCCAGAAGTTTCTCTTTTAGGGACCATGATTCCCTTCCCATGTATTATCTCTTTGGAGATGCAGTAAGAATCTGTATCCTTTAAAAAAAAAATCTTACTCTCCTTCAGATATCGAGATGTCAATGTAGTTATTTTTGTCTTTAGAATATATCCCATTGAAAAAGGACAGTGAAGATACAGTGCTCCAAACTTAGGTGTAATAATTATTTTCTCTGTGTAGTTAAGACAATACCACTGGATAAATAATCAGGTTCATTTGCAGCAGATTTGAGTTTCACTTTTTATGACTCCATTTGCCAACAAACACATACATATTCCTTTTCCCACTGCTGTTGCTAATACAAAAGATGGCATGGTGTATGCAATTTCTGCACCTTGCTTTACTTTTTTTCAATTCACAGTATGTTCTAGAGATCGCTACCTATTTTAGAGATCATCCTCATTTCCTTTTATATCTGTACCGTCATCCATTATGTTGCTGTATCTCATCAATCCCTTAATGATGAACATTTGGATGGGATTCCAGTTGGGGTATTTTAAGTACTGGTGCAAAATAACCACGTGCATATTTGACTTCATATTTTTGTAATATAGGATTCCAAAAGTGAGATCGAATGGTCAAAGGGTAAATACACGTGTAATTTTCTAGATATTGTCAAATTCCTCTCCACAGGGGTTACACCATTTTGTAGTCTCACCACTGTAGTATGAAAGAGAGCAGTATTGGGGTTTATGGATGAATCTCAAGATGTTATTTTTTTTTAAATTAAGTGTAGTTGTAACACAGTATTATATTAATTCCAGTTGTATGATGTAGTAATTCAATGTGATGACCACACTAAGTCTGGTAACCATCTGTTATGGTGCAAAGTTATCACAATATTATTGGTTAAGTTCCCTTTACCTTTTTTCATCTATTCCCCTACTCCCTTCTGGCAGCCATCAGTTTTATCTCTGATTGTGTGAGTCTGTTTGTTCTGATTTTTAGATTTGACATATAAGTTAAGCCATATGGTATTTGTCTTTGTTTAACTTATTTCACTTATCATAATACCCTCTAATCATTGCTGTAAAAATTTTTGCAAAATGTCAAGTGCATTTGTCCAGAGATAGGTCTTGACTCACTGGCATTCTGCCCCCTAGAATTACTCATGCCTGAAATATAATAGGTACTCAATGTGTGTGTGTGTGTGTGTGTGTGCGCGCGCGTGCGCGTGTATGCATATGACATATAGGAGGGGGTTGGGGATCTCTGTGAAAAAGGTGAAGGTATTAAAAAGTACAAATTGGTAGTTACAAAAGTCATAGGATATAAAGTGCAGCATAGGGAATATAGTCAATAATATTTAATAACTATGTATGATGCCAATGGATACTAGGATTACTGGGGGAATCACTTTGTAAATTATATAATTTTCTAACCACTATGCTGTACACCTGAAATTAATATAATATTAAATGCCAACTGTAAGTGAAAAGTAACATTGTGTGTGTGTGTGTGTGTGTGTGTGTGTGTGTGTATCTATCTCTATGAGTCTAGATTTCATAAAGGTAATTTGAGGGTGGTCATGTTTCATATTACATATCACACTGACAAAGAGTGGTTGCTATATTTCTTTCTTTAAAAAATATCTGGTCTAATTCCATATTTAGTATTAAATATTTTTAAGGTAATTCCTGTCCATCTTCATAACTAATAGACTGGGATATTACCGGGAGAGTGAAGAAACTCATTCACTTGCCATGATGGAGAACAGCTGTCCAGCCCTGTGATTAAAACTCTCCTTGAGGAGTTAGAGGAGATTCTCTTCTAGTGGGAGTACAGAAATGTGCATTTACAGATAATTCTCAGGTAGTGTGATAAGTGCTGTGTGAGATGCTTGGTGGAGGAGGGACTTCTTTGCATTGCCTGGGTAAGCTCAGGGGATGAGAGATGATCTTTATTTTGCAGGTGAGGGCATACTTTCCAAGCTGAGAGAGAGAGGAGTCACCATCACGTGCAATAGTTAGGAGATGGAAATATGCAAGATGGGACCAGGAGACTGGCAGGGTGTTCAGTGTAGTTAGAGACCAGGGGATATTGGAGGCAAAAGAGTTGTCTGGTGAGCCTCAAAATAAAATTGGGGCCAGAGTGTCAGGAGTCTCATATGCTAGTCTTTGAAGGTTAATTTTTTTTTTATTCTTTGGATTTAGAGATTAACGGGCTTTTTTTTAAAGTGAACTATTATTCTGTTTTCTAAAAATGATTCCCATATTCCCATGACTTGGGAGTAGCATCTTAGTACAGACATTAGGGTAACAACTCTGGAATCAGGAGCTGGGTATGAATCTCACCTTTACCATGTGCCACCTCTGTGGTCCTGGACTGTTCACTTATGCCCTTTGTGCCTGGGCTTCCTCATCTGCACCATGGGGATAGTGACATCCGTTTTTCAGGTATTTTGTAAGGATTAAATGATACATGCATTGCTTGGCATATTGTCCTCTCACAATCAGTAATGACAGTACCCCTTTTCTGACTCTTGGACTTAAGGGCTCTTCAAGATTTTGAAACTATTTTAGTTGTAGTGACTTCTGTGGAGCCTTTTTTTGAAACCATTCGAAGTTTCCTGAGACCAGTTTGCCTGTGCGTCCCTGATGTGAGGTGCCTGCGACAGGTGACAGGATGTAATACTTTGCTGGCTTCATAGGATTCTACATTTGTTGTGCCTTAAGTGAAAATTTCCTGCATTAATGCAAAAGTATTTATCTTTTAGAAGATAGGAGTTAGAAATGGAGTCAAAATATCTTCAAAAGCACCTTGGGACATGTCTAACTCAAGGTCTTGCGGAAGTGGCAAGAATTCGCCCAGGGGATCCAATAGAATATTTAGCATTGTGGATTTACAAGTATAAGGAAAATGTGACCATGGAGGAACTGGTAAGTATGAATCTCTTAGAAATTTAGAAGAGTAAAATAATTGGTTCTATTTGTCTGCTTTTAAAAAGCTCAATATTATTATTTCTTTATATTATAAAATAGTATGTTTATTATACAAAAACTTGGACAACATGTAAAAGTAGAAAGAAGAAAATTTTCAAAGAAGCTCTCTATTTAGATTTTTAGGTATTCTAATCTTTTTTTCTACACATTTGCCTGTAGACTTGTTTACGTGATTATGATCATACTAAATGTACAACTTTAGTTTTATGCTCTTTATTAAAATACAACACGTTTCCCCAAAGTATTAAACAGTTTTCAAATGGATAAACTATATTTTGCTTAACCCATTCTCTTCTGTTGGTGATTAATATGTTTTCCAAATTGTTTTCACAATTTGTTTTATCCCTAATTAATCATGTGATATTGTTTTTAAACAATGCTAGAGGCAAAAGGAAATGGCTGAATTGGAGCGTGAAAGAGAACTAGCTCTGACGGAGCAGGAGATGATGGAGAGGCTCAAAGCAGAGGAGCTTATCTTTCAGCAGGTGAGACAAGTAATAGAGTTCAGGGGTGACTGGCATTAGTAGTGTCAACCTGGGTGTGGGGCAATCCAAATGTTGAAAAACTCTCATGTTTGATTATTCATGTATGTTTTTTTATATCCTCATCTTGATGTGTATGTTGTCCTTGCTGGGGAAGCAGCAGCAGTGAGGTAGGAAGAAAACCCAGAGAAACACTTTCCCACACAAGCCAGGGGGAGAGAGTGACTTAGTGAGATCTCCGTGGTCAACCATGTATAGGCTGGCTGAGTGAGAGGAGACTATGAGGTGCTCATTCAAGGCTACTAGTGGTGACTTTGGTGCAAGCAGTGTAGGTGAGATGGGGTACAGTGAGTCGAGGTAATACTTTCAAGCAGATTTTCACGGAAGGTGGTGGTTTTTGTTGTTTTTGTTTGTTTTTGCAACATAAGGGAATGGGCGACGTTAATAAATAGGGGAGATGATTTCTAGAATCAGCTTTCCATGAAGAAAAAAGGAAATTGAGTCTATAACATAGTTTATGCAGGTAGAATGGCATGTCTTTTATTCCTTGATTCAAGAGGAGAGAGGATGCATAGGTACATGTGGATATGGAGGTTTTGTGGCACAAAGTTGAAAGCAGTTTCTGTGTGACTGTTCTTTATGAAGTAGGGGCCATGATCATTTTTTAAGAAGGAGGTGGTAAAGTAGGAGGTGTGGGGAGAATGGTGAAAGGTTTCAAATAATGGCTTTGGAGAATGGCAGAGTCAATAGGGAAAACAGCATTACTTGGTAGTGTTGAGTATGCTGATATAGTTGGAGACCAAACATTTATAAAGTTTCCATTTGACTTGGTTTAGTAATTGTGTGATTTTCTGCACTTATCTGAGTAAATATCTGAGTAAAGATGTGGTAGAAGCAGACCCTTTTACTGAAGTAGGTCTGGGGTAGAAGGACTGGGTAAATGAAAATGTTGGGAAGAGAATGGTTGGAGGGATGGGTCATGGAGTATTAACTAGATAGGGGAAAGTTCCAGAGTGCCTTCTGGACTAATTTAATTTATGGGGAGACTCTCAACTAAATTTAAGTCATCCCTCTAGTTGTGACGTATAGTACTTAACTCTGAAGTCTCAACTTGAGTTTACATATTTGAAAAAGTGAAAGAAGCCAGTTATTTGCATGTGTAGATAAAAAGTATAGATATGGAAAATAGCTTTTTTAAAATCTAATCTCCCATTCTTGATACTGGGTAGAATATTCTAGGCACCTTAGATGGATATGGTTGAAAACTTTTCTATTTCTTAGCCTTCATTTTTTCAGTCATTTGGTTTATTCTTGTGGGGAAGTTGCAAAGTGTTAAGTTGGATGTCAAATAATTATCCAAACAGGCAAGTGTCTATTGGAGAGTCTCCAACTCTGAGTCAGGATCTGCCCTTCCTCTTAGCAGATCCTATGGTTTCTTTATGTTTGTTCCATGTGTATCAGAATAAGGAGAACTTCCCAGCAGTTCTCATTCCCCAAGACAAATTATACCATTAATGTGGAGATACTTAACTTTCTTTTACTCATCTACTTTATCTTACTTAGATAAAATTTATCAATACTAGAAATCTAACATTGCTCTAGTTGTAGCATGTTGACCATATAAGGCAATTCACTGTTCATTGAACCCTAAGCATTGTATTGGGACTGAAAGATATAATGATATTCTGCAAAAGATTTTATGGCGAGTTAAAGAAGTGGATTGTTGGGTAGATGCAGATGAGAGGAGGAGGAGGGACATGTGGAAAGATGAATCAACAGAGAAAAGCTTAAGAGAGTGAGGCTGAGATGAAGAGAAGCAGAGAAACCTCTACATTCCACCTTAACCAAGTGACCTGGAGGTTCAGGACTGTTGGCCTACCTGTTGATTGGAAGAGCATATGTTCTCAAAGTAAAAATAGTGACTTGAAATTCCTTAAAAATTAGGCACTCTCCAATAAGTCCAAATCCCTGAGAACAGGATAGTATTTTTATTGCTGAAAAGTTTATTTTGGAAATAAAAACTTTAAAAAAATTTGTTCAAATATCTTTCTAATGATTTTACTTTCTTTCTGTGGAGGGAGAAACTAGGTTTTGAAAATTTCCTGAGATGCTAAGAAACTGGTTATTTTGACCACTGTGGTTGATATTTAACAACTGAACTTTGAATTATTTTTGAGAAATTAGAGTTATTTCACTGCCTCTACTAATGTCTGAAAGTTGATTTAATGATATGTTATTGCACTTCAGCTACCTGTCTTAATATAGGAATACAAAGAAATTATGCTTAATAACCTTTTGTGAATAAATATTAATCAGTTTATTATCTCTATTTGTTAAAATGTATTACTTTTAAAAATGCATTTTAAAAATGTTTTAGCCTTGGCCAGATAGCTCAGCTGATTAGAGCATCATCCTGTGCATCAAAGGATTGTGGGTTCGATCCTTGGGTCAGGGCACATACCTGGGTTGCAGGTTAAATCCCCCATCAGAGTACATGCAGGAGGCAGCCAATCAATGATTCTCTCTCACATAAATGTTTCCCTCTCTCTCTCCCTTCCCTCCTCTCCCTCTAAACTCAATAAAACACATCCTACGGTGAGGATTTTTTTTTAAAAAAACATATATAGTTTTAAAATGCTCTTAATGGGGTGATCTTATTAGCATGTTTATGAGGTAGTGCTGGATTGATGGTGAGAAATTATTTTCTAGCTTAGGAGCTGGAAAACACATTCTGCAGAGATAGATACTCGAGAGACAAAACTGGGGATATTATGTAGTATTATGTTGTATTATATAGCTATAGCAAGAGATAAAACAAATTTTTACAAATGTTTTATTAATGAAATAAATAATAACATTTGAATAGAACTTTTTGTAATATAGCTTACCACTGAGAAGAATTAAATTCTTTTTTAAAAAGATAACATTTCATTTGGAATTCAAAATTAATGTTCCTTATATCAAAAATGATTGAAAATGTTTATTTGTTAGTGCTGACCTGAAATGAGGTTTTATGTATTTATCTTTGAAAGTATCTTTTCACACATAGGTCCTGCCAAATATTAATATCAGTCCATGTGCATATAATTTTGAACATATTTATTTCTTGGAAGGCATTTGTAGGATTCTGTTAGATTTATCTCTTGATAATTGCCTTTTATTTATTTATTTTTTTTAATTAATTTATTTACTTTTTAAATACATTTGTCTCTGCCTTCCCCCCCCTCTTTCCCTTGCCCCCTCCCACCTTCCCTCCCTCAGCTCTTCCCCTTTGGTTTTGTCCATGAGTCCTTGCTATATGTTCCTTGACTTTCCCCTTCCCTTCCCTTTCCCTGCCCCCCCTTCCCTCTTGTCTCTGTTGATTTCTTTTCCTTTCAGTGTTGCTGGTCATATTTGCCTTGCTTCTTTGCATTGTTGGTTAGGTTCCGCTTATAGATGAGATCATATGGTATTTGTCTTTCGCCCCCTGGCTTATTTCGCTTAGCATGATGCTCTCCATTTCCATCCATGCTGTTGCGAAGTTTAGTACTTCTTTTTTTCTTTCTGCTGCGTAGTATTCCATTGTGTATATGTACCATAATTTTTTGATCCAATCATCTACTGATGGGCATTTAGGTTGCTTCCAGCACTTGGCTATTGTAAATTGTGCTGCTATGAACATTGGGGTGCATAGGTTATTTTGTATTGGTGTTTTGGTGTTCTCAGGGTATAGTCCCAGCAGGGGAATCCCTGGATCAAAAGGCAGTTCCATTTTCAGCTTTCTGAGGAAATTCCACACTGCTTTCCATAGTGGCTGCACCAGTCTGCATTCCCACCAACAGTGGACTAGAGTTCCCTTTTCTCCACAGCCTCGCCAGCACCTGTTGTTTGTGGATCTGTTTATGATGGCCATTCTGACCGGTGTGAGGTGGTACCTCATGGTGGTTTTGATCTGCATTTCTCTAATGGCTAGTGATGCAGAGCATCCTTTCAAATGCCTCTGGGCCCTCTGTATCTCCTCCTTAGAAAAGCGTCTGCCCAGGTCCTTTGCCCATTTTTTGATTGGATCGTTTGTCTTCTTGGAGTAAAGTCGAGTGAGTTCTTTGTATATCTTGGAGATCAAACCTCTATCTGATGTATCATTAGCAAATATATTTTCCCAAATGGTTGGCTCCCTTTTCATTTTGCTGATGTTTTCTTTCACCGTGCAGAAGCTTCTTATTTTGATGAGGTCCCACTTGTTTATTCTTTCCTTTATGTCCCTTGCTTTAGGAGACATATCAGTGAAAAAATTGCTGCGTGGGATATCTGAGAGTTTCCTGCCAATGTTCTCCTCTAGGACTTTGATGGTGTTGCGACTTATATTTAAGTCTTTTATCCATCTTGAGTTTATTTTTGTGTATGGTGTCAGCTGATGATCCAATTTCAATTTTTTGCATGTAGCCATCCAGCTCTCCCAACACCATTTGTTGAAGAGGCTGTTATTGCTCCATTTTATGCTTCTGCCCCCTTTGTCAAATATTAGATGTCCATAGAGACCTGGGCTTATTTCTGGGCTTTCTATTCTGTTCCACTGGTCTATGGGTCTGTTCTTGTGCCAGTACCAGATTGTTTTGAGTATAGTGGCTTTGTAGTAGAGTTTGATGTCCGGTATTGTGATCCCTCCTACTTTGTGTTTCTTTCTCAAAATTGCTGCAGCTATTCGAGGTCGTTTATGGTTCCATATAAATTTTTGAAATGTCTGTTCTATTTCTGTGAAATACGTCATTGGTATCTTAATAGGGATTGCGTTGAATCTATAGATTGCTTTTGGTAGTATGGACATTTTAAGGATATTAATTCTTCCAATCCATGTGCACGGTATATGCTTCCATTTATTTGTGTCTTCCTTAATTTCTTTTTTCAATGTTGTATAGTTTTCTGCATACAGGTCTTTTGTGTCTTTGGTTAAATTTATCCCTAGGTACTTTATCTTTTTTCGTGCTATATCGAATGGTATATTTTTCCTGATTTCTTCTTCTTCT